CAACAAGACAGGCAGGAAGCAGCAGTGAGTGGACATACAAGGCTAGCAGAGTCATCATCAAAGAGGAGCACAGGGATCATCAAGGCTAAAAGAACACCACCTGACAACGTACAAAAAAACGATGCCAGGGAAGAACACACTCTTCTCTCGTCACCCACAAAAAAAGTACCGTTCTCATAATATATATATTATATTTTCAAATAATTATAATGGTCTTGAGTCTTATTTTTTTCTAATGTAGGTGTTTTTTGTTACATCCCTATCGAGGAAATTTAGATCAATAATAATAATAATAATAATAATAATAATAATAATTAATAAATGCTATATAATAATCCATAATAATAATAAAAAATAAATGCTATATAATAATCCATAATAATAATAACAAATAATGGTATATAATAAACCATAATAATAATAATGTTATATAATAACCCATAATAATAATAACAATAATAATAATAGCAATAATAATGAGGAAGAACACATTAGTCTCTCTTCACCCACAATAACGTACTGTATCCAAATTAGCCTAAATAGAATGTACTGAATACACTTATCTTTTGTCGTAGTACGCATAAATGCATAAATAAACAGGACAGATAAAGTCTTTAAGATTCAACTCAATGAACTTTAGTCTTACACAAAATACACTTCCATCAGACAGATCGACAGAAAAAGAAACTAAACTTTCCAGACGGGAGAATATGAGACTGACGCGCTACCTACTGCTGCACTCAGGAGAAAAAATCACAAGTCATCAGAGGACCACCTACTTTTTCCCCTTTTCAAATTGGAGTTGGATTACTGATTGCACAAGGTAGCAAAACAAACGGCGAAATAAATCAACAATTGTAAAGAAAAAAAGATAGCGAAAAGCAACAACAAAGGATCATATTCTCGCATAAGTATGGCACCTTACCCCAAAAACATAATAAGTGTATGTTCATAGATTCCATTATAAATTCCTCTATAAAACATTGCTTGATCGTTACAAAATTTTCATTAAAAAAATATGAGACAAAAATATGTGATATTTTACGCCGTAATCATCCGCTTTTATAATAATGCAGTGAAACAATGACAGGGTAGTTATGTCCACGCAACATTCCCGCCCTTGCACTTCTCCACAGTCAGTTTAATAAAAATCTGTTATGTGTTCACCTTAACACCACTATAATCTAACATTTCTTTTTACATATTTTGGCAAATCAATAATCATATAAAAAATATTTCCAGTATGATTATAATATAGCATTCCATTCTCCTGAACATATGCGGAGGTATCGATTGTGTACTGTTATGCTCTAACCCTGCAACTGGATGAAATAGGTCAACGCTTTAATTGTTCTGTTCTAAAACTATTGCCAAGGTCAATTCGTGTGTCCCCAATAAGTCTGAAGTCAGCATGCACTATTAAAAGTATAAAAGTATCGTTAGATACCTTATATCTGCTGAGAGAATGGAGAAAAAAAACCCACACTGGAGTGAACAGGTCTATTATTATGATGTTACTGTGACCTCGACTGAGACTGTTGACAGATGGGACACAAGACAAAAAATAGTCACTTTTGACATGCTAGGCTTACGAGATATAGATGAATTCCTTGTGGCAAACAGTGTCATGGTCATAACACAGTTCAGTCATCCTCTTCAAGTTCTAGTTTCTAGTTCTTGGTACGGTGAAAAAAATTACTTACTACCCTAGAATTACAAAGTTCTATCTGCTCAGCACCTAGTACTGAGAAATTTGACGTAAAAGATTTTGAGTATCACATTCTGACAAGCTTTTTCGAATGCAATTCTTGGAATATCTTGATAACAACCCTGAATAATCTAACAATTTTGATAGAGCAGATAGACAAAACATTTGTTTTCTGACCTCATGGTCTTAGTAACTCAAAACGGACCAAAAAAGTCGGATAGAACTTTGTAATTCTGAGGTAGCGAAATGCCTGTTGCTTGTACTGTATCCCCAGTACAGCAGGATTCTGTTTTGAGAACTTAAAACTGAAATTATTGGGAAATTAATTGTCTTTAAGGCTCCAGTTGTAAAGTTGACTCACTTAGAATTTTTTTGCTTTTTTCTAAAGTTTTCTCGAAGCGTAAGAAAATTGCTCAGACAATAGAGTTACACTTGAGATGAGCAGTTGTCTACTCCAGAATACAAATACTTAAATGTTATTTCAAAGTGCCACAGTATACATAAGGACAGAAAAGCTCTTGTCAAACTATCTACTTCTTACTTAATGCCTAAAAGCACATAACTTGATTACTGAGAAGGGCAGTAGAGCTTTGCTTCAAAGTTTACCCAAAAAAAATCAAATCAAATTTTTAAAAAGCTCTAAAAGAACAAACAAAAGAACTTCATACAGTGGCAGACATTGTAGTAGTAATACACGTAACTTATTGCAAACATTTATAGAGCTTATAGTAAACATTTTTAGGCCATCATCGACACCAGGTAATTGAACTTGTGTCCTTTGTGTGCCAGGTAAAGAGCCGAACCATAGCACCAGTAGTCGAGACAGCCCAACAGGCAAGTAAGACCACGAGAATATGTATGTATAGTAATATAATGAAAGTATTGCAGCTACCGAGTGTAATGCCTCTTCAACATAATCAAGCTACCAGTAACTTAGAAATGTTCCGATTTAATGTCCTGCCCTGATATGACTCGGCCGAGAGAATGCAGAGCCACAGGAACTCCTCAAGTTTGAGAAAGTTCTTTAGGGGGATGTGAACCAGACCCATCCACACACTCAGCTTGACTCAGCAGGAAAACAACGGAGCTAACTAATTAATAATGCACCAATTTATTTGTTTGAGTATAGAGAAGTACATCCACAGGATGACAGTCATTTACTGCTGGGAAAAAGACAAAAAGACAGAAAGAAACAACAGAAAGAAAGAAAAAAAGAAAGAAAGAAAAAAAGAAAGAAACAACAGAGAGAAAGAAAAAAAGAAAGAAACAACAGAGAGAAAGAAAAAAAGAAAGAAACAACAGAGAGAAACACAAAAAAGAAAGAAACAACAGAGAGAAAGAAAAAAAGTAGGATCTACCAGTAACACCATTCAACCACCAACAAATGTACCCAATATATGAATATAATATAATATACAGAAAACCATAAAGAACTGAACATAAAGAAAACTGTTTAGCACTGTATCCCTGAAAATGCACCAGCATACTTTGAGCTGTAAAAAGTAAATCCTTCCAATAATGACAATTTGATTTATGATTTAATACCTTTAATATATTATTCTTTGGTTAAGTTTGATTGGAATGATAATTTTAAAATAAAACAGCAAAAAAATTAATGAAGTAGCACAAAAACCCTGAAAATAAAAATGTGCATTTCAGAGAAAAATCTTTTGTAGCAAATAATTTTCTTGACAATACAAAAATCTTTCAGTCAGAGTATGAAAACTTTGTTTCTAGAAAATATGGTTACAACGTTTTCACAACATGCTGTAAAAGAATGTGACTGATAAACAAGATTCCCAGATTGACCTACTCTTTTTTTAAGTTAAATCAACCATTTTTCAGGACACTTGAACAGATGAGTGACAGAAAACGACCAGGATAAAAAATATATATACAGTGTAACACGGATAGCTCGAATTCGTCGAGACCGGCCTCGTTAGTTTGATGGATATCTTACAAAGATAAAGAAGAAAAAAAAAAAACCAGACCACAGGCACAGTTCGTCAGGTAGGTGATTCGAGTCTTCTGTATTCAACTTATCCGTGTTATACCGTATTTTTAAACCATCCAAGCGCACACCAACCATGATTTGTTGATGTTTGTTTCAAATCTGGCACTTGATGAAGAAGATTTGTGAAGTCGGTGTCAGTCAGTTACTCTCTTTAGGTGGTCGTCCTGGTCCCTATACCTCCAGTTCCTGCCGTCTGTTGCACCATGGAAAGCGTTACAATGATTCCCGTCCGCTGTGATTGGTCGAAAAATTTGAAGATGGGAGTTGTGAGCAGCTAGTGCAAGTTTTCTTCATGTACAACAAGAAACGATTCCAGCAATGTACCCAGAATACAACACTCGCGGCTTGATGTGCGTACAGGAGCATCACATTTGGTCGCTTTTAAGGACAAGTGGGCTATCCCGAAAAATGTTGTTTTGAGAAAATCGAAAGTAAAGTTTTTGAACCCTTGTTCAGTTTCTCTAAAAGGCAACGAGGGTTTTCTCTATAACCGAACAAATATACACACCAACGAGACCAAACTTCTCCTATGGGTAGGGCAATGCCCACTTTTGGTGAAGGTCAAGATTTCTGGAAATCCCTGAAATCTGGGTTAGCCCGCTGTCCTAAAAAGCGACCATATTATTGTTGTCAAAATAGAATATTAATAACTCCAATATTTTCCCACTTGCTCTGTAAAGCAAGACCAAACAGTTCCGTATTTTCTCCTGCGACAACGAGGAGATAGTTTCTGCACATTATCCCTGGTGTCTGTGTCTCCTCAAAATTAGGTCAATTATACACGTACCACAATCAAGAGCAGAACTGATTAAGAAAATAATAATCTGCTGTTAACAAAACAAGAGTCCAACAAAAGCATGCAGACAAATCACAGACACATCACATCTTTGACATGTTCAGTACACCCACAACATAAAACACACCAAGGCCTTCACATAAGAAGCAATGTGAGTTTTCCCTGTGAAGCCAATCAAAATACAACAAAAAAAAAGTGACAAATTGCGGGAACAAAATATTCTTTTAAAAACCATAACGACAAAATCCCAACCCACGGCTTCTTTACATTCGTAGTGAACAAGCAGCTAACATGAAAACCAATAGCAACAGCAGCAACGGAAGAGAACAGTCAAAAATGCTCAAGAAAACCATGTTTCAACATTTACAATCTTTCAACATTTTAACTCAATCAACAGTCAAAGACCGAATAACATTCAACTTTAATTTATATAACAAGAAAGTTTTTAAATCTTATAAAGATAAAACCGCAGACAAAGGATCAATTATATTCATCTTGTTTATCACATCTGTCAAGCTATTTCAACACATTTTATCCAATGCAGACAGTGTAAGAACCTGCAGTCACCATTACCATGCACTGTATGATGGAAATATTCAATTCCGTTTGTTTGATTGTCTGTTTGTTTGTTTGAATTAAAATAAAAACCACAATGGCCCAATAACCATCCGTTAGACTAGGGGCAAAAAGTAAGACCAACAGACAAAAACAATTGACGGAAAAAAAAAAATTCCTACGACCAATTAGTGCTGCCCTCCAACAACCTAAATTCTGTGACAAGGGGCAGAAGCTACACACTCCACCCAAGAGCCAAAACTTTTTTGGGGAAAAAAATACACGCTTCACTTCCCATATTATACCTGTAGATAGCTCCATATCTTTTGTCATGATTATTTTATTCTCATCACAAAAGTAAAGATTGTAAAAACCATAGAAAAAATGAAATGGTAATATGAACTTCACTAATTCAACCATCTCTGAATGAGCGCATACTGATTGAACATTTCCTGCTACCATCAACACAATTTTGATTATTTAAGAGAGAGGTGGGCGGCTTCTACTCTGCCTGCCTGGCCCATTCCACACACAGTGGGATACAGCAGTACAATGGGAAAACTCATTAAAATAATTCCCTCTAACAAGAATTGAACTCATATTTATAATGTATATATATATATATAAGTGAGGCGTGCTGACAAAATGAGTTACTTCACGCAATCCACAAATAGAGCAGTTGGCCAAAAATCAAAACTTGCGTCAAATTCGTAGATTTTCTACAGATGCCTTATTCTTTAAGTATAACATGCCTTTTAGTAATTCATACTTAAAATTGTCAAAACTTCACCTATAAGCGTGATGTATCTATTTCCATAGGACTCGAATCCGAGAAGTAACTCGTTTTGTCAGCATGCCTCACATATATCTCTTGTGCTCAACATCAAAAAAGTTTACCAGATGCACCAGAGACTCTGGGGTCAGACTCTTCATCCGACATTAAAAACCTCCACAGTTCTGGGAGGGGAAATGTTATTCATCAGCCAGCTGTTCAAATGTAATAAGCCTAAAATTTTTACAAATTTCTTCATAATAGTTTCTTTAACTTTGGTATTGGTTGCACCTGCTAGAGTTTAGTTTCAGTAAGAGTTTTACTGCACTTGTAACACAATAAGGTCATATAAGTGCCGAAGACTAGAGGTGTTACAAGAGAGTAACAAACATAAAAAAGGGAGGAGAGATCAGGACGATAGATGTTTGATAGAAAAAAAGGAGCAGACCACACCATAGCATCCGCCAACCTCCCACACCTGCTAAGAGAAATATTGTTTCGAAACTAAAACTTGAAATGTTGAAAAAAGTGGGAAAAGATATAATAATATAGATTAGATCTAGATGAAAGTTTTTTTGGGTCTTTTTTCTTAAAATGTTTTCTCTCTCCTGAAAAATGTTGCTTTCTTGCAGGGCTTAAACTAGTTGAACAGCTTGCTGACAAATTCACACAATACAAACATCACAATCAGAGTGTTCATTACATCACCGACAACACATGACAGACACAGTCCTCGGACTCTGAAACCAGTAACATGGTGACAATAGTCATGGATTGATGAACTGGGCCGTAGTCCTTATTCCCTGAGCTCAAGCTTAGAATCATTCACACACACAAACACACACACACACACACACACACACACACACATGCACGCACGCACACACACACACCTATATATAGACACACAGAGATGCACACACTCACAGACACTGGCACACATACACACCCACACAAAGAAGTGATAGATACATGAGATACACAAACCCTACCCATGACAGAACACCCACTCACACACACTCAGACATATCAACACACACAAACACACACACACACACACTCACTCACACACACACACCCACACAAACTCTACCAATAGCAGCACAACAGCAACAACACATGAACCAGCACCAATAAATAACAACTTCATAATTCTCCCACACTCTCTTCTAAAAACATTGTTATTGGATGAAACATAACGTACTGGGACGACAAAATATATAAATCTGGAGCACACACATTTTGTCCACATTAAGTAAGGGCACCGTAACCAAAGCAACGATGCCAGAAGCTAAAAACAATAGCCAGCAATAAACACGGGCTAAACTCTTCATCTCTGAGGGGGATAAACCCACTATGCCAGGGCCCTTTTTTGGTACTAAATCGAAAAATGACAAAAACATCATTAAATTGATCATTAAATCAATATAAGTGAACCTATTTTAATAGTTCTTCATCGAATGAATGAAGTGCCGATAAAAGAGACCTGTTTTCGGCAATTTCTGAAAAGTAATTTGATGTCGAAGTTATCGTAAAGGAATGTGCCGAGCCGCTGCCAGCAACTCACCGGCACAGCTGTTCTGACCATGAGCCGCTGTGAGCGCTTGCCGGAGACAAAGAGTTAAAGTAGTGTAGACACAATATGTGTCATAATATCTGATGCCCTCCCACATTTGGCAAAACCATTAATAACATGGGGGGATTGGGGGAACCATTCTTCCCAGATATAATATCCAAACTCGTATCACTTCATTTCAAAAGCATTCACTTGAAAAGGTAAAGAACTAAACAAGTTCATTTTTCTGGAAACGTGACGACACTGAAGACCATTTTTCAGGGCAGAGGGTCAAAATTTGTTCCACAATAAAATGACAGCTAAAAATTTGAAAGAATGTTGAATGCTTTGTTAGAGAAGTTTTTTTTTAAAATAAGTGCGGAGAGAAAAAAAAAAACATCCCTTCCATCAGCAACCTGGAACAAGTAAAATCCATTGCCACGCTAAGCAGTTCTAGCTTCATTATATTTGGCAAAAGACGTCCTATAGAAACACACTTCTGGCACTCGATTTCACAAACTCACACGCAAAAGAAAGCGATAAAACAACAATCATTGCACCACGGATGGCGTAAAAGAAATACACGTAACGCCTGATAGAAAATATGCTTGACACAGCATATGTGAAACAAAATGCTCAGTTCAGCCAAAATTATCCATAGCGAATTTCTCTAAACTTAGCTTTACCCTAATGACGATGAAGGAGTGAGAAAATTTTGCTTCTTGTAAGAAGAAAAAAAATGCAAACATCTCACTACGTCACTTAACCTCCAGAAAAAAAAACTATGAAAAAAAAAAAAGTGCATACATATTCCGAAAAGAATATCAGTCTAATGTATCATCCAGTATTTATGTCAATGCCATTCTGCTCTTGCTCAAATGAAAATGTTGCAATAGTCTCTCTCATTTTCTCTTTCTCTCTCTCTCTGCAAGTGTACATGAGTGTGTGTGTGTGTGTGTGTGTGTGTGTGTGTGTGTGTGTGTGTGTGTGTGTGTGTGTGTGTGTGTGTGTGTGTGTGTGCGTGTGTGAGCGTGTCTGCATACATATGGGCAAGCCCCACACAGTGAGGTGAAGAAACACCTCACCCCTCACACAAACTTAAATAATATAATCATATTGCGCACACACACACACACTCTTCAAGCTCCATCCATTAACCCCTAAACATTTTCAGGCTTAAAAAGAGAGGTGGGGGGCACAGGGTGAGGAGAACAAAATTTCTCTTCTCAAACTCAAGCTACTCATTAACTCCACCCCACCCCCCCTCCCCCATCCTTCTCTCCCTCTCCCCCTTTCCCTCCCCCCACACACAGACATAACAATAAATGATGAATAAATCAAATCCTCTGCTGGATCTCTTCTTTGGCCTTGGTCTTCCCCTCCTCCGGGATCTTGCTGTCCTTCTGCTCGGGCTGCGACAGTCGGATGCTGTCCAGGAAGCCCAGCACGGCCTCCACATACTCGTCAGGGTGCCGGTGGAAGTGGCTGACGTGGGGCGAGCTCTCCCAGCACCGACTCATCACCGGGATGCCGGCCGCCTTCCACTTTTTGATCACCTGCCCAGAGGGAGAGGGACGGAGTGTGGTTATGAGAAGCGCTTTAAAAAAGCAGGGAGATATAAATATATATTTATATAAAGAGAGAGAGAGAGAGATAGAGAGGAGAGGAGTATGGTTAACAGAAGCGCTTTAAATATACAGAGAGAGAGAGAGAGAGAGAGAGAGAGAGAGAGAGAGAGAGAGAGAGAGAGAGAGAGAGAGAGAGAGAGGAGTATGGTTAAGAGAAGAACGCTAAAATGCAGAAAGAGAGGAAAGAGAGAGAGGAGAGAGAGAGAGAGAGAGAGAGAGAGAGAGAGAGAGAGAGAGAGAGAGAGAGAGAGAGAGAGAGGGAAGGAGTATGGATAAGAGAAGCACTTTCAGAAGCAGAAAGAGAGAGAAAGAGAGTGTGTGTGTGAGAGAGAGAGAGAGAGAGAGAGAGAGAAAGAGAGTGAGTGAGAGAGAAAGAGAGTGTGAGAGAGAGAGAGAAAAGAGAGAGGAGTACAGTTTAAAGATAGCACACACACGCAAACATATATGCACACACACACATGGGCGCACGCACGTGAGTGCACACACATGCACCCCCCCCCCCCCCCCCACACACACACATAGAGAGACACTCGCACAATTATACACTACATCTATTAAGTAAAGAGAAACATATTTACACAATAAGTCATTTAATATTGGGGGGGGGGGGGGAACAAGATGGTTAGTCAGAAACAACATAGGAGAAAGGACTAGAGGCAACCCCCCCCCCACCCCCCACCCCCCACCCTTTCCCAAATTTTAAAAAAAAATTTTTAAATAAAAAACAGAGACCACGTTTGAGGTCAAGAGAGGCACATTGCCACAGCAGTTATCGTTCATTCTCTTTATTCAGTCACACACTCAAATAAAAGATTATGATGATTGTTTATTCAGTACAAAGAGGGCAAATCAGTGCAACGGTCATTTAGTGAGTAAAGTACATAATTTGCCTTCCAATCACCAGCAGGTGAAGACAGACAGCTAGACAGACATCCAGCCAGACAGACAGACAGGCAGACAGGCTGACAGACAGATAGACAGACAGCTAGACATACAGACAGACAGACAGACAGCTAGACAGACAGCTAGACATACAGACAGACAGCTAGACTGCAGACAGACTTCTAATCTTTTCTTAACTTCTCTTGCAAGCATGGCAAGTGTTTTAGTGCCTGCAAAATGGCAGCTTGCACGGCATGCTTCCCATGAAGTAGACATTCTTTCGGAATGCTATCAGGTCTTTTTAGTTTTAGTAAGTGTTTTACGGCATTTGCAACACAATACGGTCATATAAGTGCCGAAGATTAGAGGTGTCACGAAAAGGAGGAAGAGAGACAAGGACGATAGATGTTCGATAGGAAAAAAGAAGCAAACCACACCAGGGCACCCGCCAACCACCCACTCTATCAGGTCTGCTGGGGTAATAGTATAGATGGTAAAGTGCATAGAGCTTGCTGCTGAGCAGGATTAGCACCACACAAATGTTATTAATTATTAATCTGCCTCGGTTAAAATCATGTCGGTGCGAAGCATTAAGAGTTAAGCCCAATATACTACCAAAAAACAAAACAAAAATCAGAAAAAGAGAAAACGGAGCGGACAATGAATCATCCACCCTCCTTTAGGCCTTTTTTTTTTTTTTTTTTTTGCATTTTACACAAAGACACAATTTAGATCATTTAGGAGGCAGGCTTCCAACCCTGTCTTTCAGTACCAACCAGGGCGGAGAGATATACAACATCCCAGCAAAAAGAACTAGATCTAGATACTCCATAAAACTTTCACCCCCATCGTAAATCAAACTCTGAATCTCATGCGAGCGACAACGAAGCGCCTCGCCGCTACACCTAAGATTAACCCTGTCCATACGCCCTTGAATTCTTCACATTTTAGAGTACTTCTAGTACGAAGATCTCTTCGAAACTTTCAGTATTTCTAAAAAAAAAATAAATCATTTTAACAGACTGCTATGCAAAGCGTACGGATCGGATTAACGAGTAAATTTCCTTTTTGGAAAGTGGCGGCAGAGTTCCTCACGTCGCATGGATACGATAGTAAAGCACGACGTGCCGATAGGGTTAAGTGGTGGCACAGAGTTCCCCACGTCGTAGGGATACGATAGTAAAACACGACGTACGAACAGGGTTAAAATATTGGTAATCTTGGCCTTGAGAACTGTCCTGATTAGCACGTTCACTGACCAGAGACATAACGTCACTGAAATCACTGATCCCTCTGGCAAGGTCGTCGTAGGGCGCGCGGACAGCTGTTACATACATTAAGCGTGCGGCCACTATCACGGGTCATCACCGGTCAGACTAGGGTAGGAATCAGGGGTCACGCAACTAGAGGCTAAAGGTCACGGCCTGGTGGGCACAATAATCTTACAACGGATGACATTTGAAGACTTTTGATGAAATATCTTCTTTTTTTTTCAGATGAGTTGCGGGAAGTATACACTCTCTCTCTCTCTCTCTCTCTCCCTCTCCCTCTCTCTCTCCCTCCCTGCCTGCCTGCCTGCCTGCCTGCCTGCCTGCCTGCCTGCCTGTCTGTCTGCCTGCCTGCCTGCCTGCCTGCCTGCCTGCCTGCCTGCCTGCCTGCCTGCCTGCCTGCCTGCCTGCCTGCCTGCCTGCCTATTTACTATCTATATATCTATCTATCTCCCAAGAAGGTTGTTTGCCCCAAACGTCAGCAGGTGCAATACTCTTGAGATGATCCATTTCTACAACATTCTTCCAGATTTTACCTTATTAAGTCCCTCTACAATTAGCATTGTCCCACAAACCAGTACGGTTTTCTTTATTTGAAATTTGAAATTAAAACTACAGGCAAACAGCATGCACAGGCTACAATGAAACACGTATACAAATTCATGTTTGTTTTAGTAAGTACGCGCGCGCTTTTTTTTTCCTTTTTTTTTTATATAGTAGAGGGTTTTACGGCGCTCGCAACTGCATAAGGTCATATGAGCGCCAAGGGGTGGGTGTCAACAGAGAAGTCTCTACAGGGAATCAGACTTAGACTGCTCACCTCTCTAGCTTCAACAGCACAAGGTCTGCTCCGACTATCAAGGCACCCCAAAATAGCAGGTCACAAGAGAGTGACAAACGTACAAAACAAGTAGGGGAAAATGACAATAGTAAGGATCAGGAAAGAAAAAGCAGCAGTTCCCTGTTGTAGATCAGGCACAGTAAGTTATGAGCGTGACATGAGTCAGCCCATTTACAATTCTACTATGCTTGAACGAGAAATGTCCCCCCTTTGGGAATGGCCTAAAGACACTACAGTCAGTGGCACTGCCCCGGCGGGTGTACGCGCTTTAAGGAACCTGCAACACAATTACGTCACATAAATACGAGCCGAAGATTAGAGGTGTTACAAGAGCAGTTGTGACATGCAAATCAATAATATTATCCACGAACTGTTACTAGAAAGCAACATACAGTACAACGAAAAGGAGGAGGGGAGATAACGACGATAGACGCGAGACAGGAGGGGAGGAGCAATTTAAACCACACCAGAGCACACGCCAACACTCACCAAATTCATGTTTTCAATTAATTGAGTAACATGGTTCGAAATGTGAGGCAACATCACCTCTTATAAGACCTGCTGCTTATCACTCATATTACTATTATTATTGTCATAATCATCATATTACTATTATTATTATTATTACTAATATTTGTATCACTATTATTATTAATATTATTATTATATTAATATACTTGGCGTTAAAAAAAAAACCAGACACCCCTTTTTTTTAGTGTTTTTTGTATTGAAAGACTGATTTTAAATAGAAACAATCTCTCTATAAGGAAAGTTTGAACATTTTACAAATCAATTACACAAAGAACAATTTTTTTTAATGAACTTTATTTCCTGAAATTTGATCTTTTAATTGTAGGCCCTAAAATGAGAAGTCACAGTTAATACAGCGTATAACTGCCGTGGGCATTGGCGACTTCTGTGCACCTCTGCGCATGCTTCGCACAAGTCTTTGTATGGGATGCTGTGGAATGTTGTTCCATAATTATGTTTGTAAGTGCTGTACGTAGCTGATCCAACGTGACCGGCTGAGGTCTAAGGCGTCGGGGCACAGTCGGGACACTTATGGTTCTCCGTCTCTTCTACTCCCTGGCTGTCTTGGTAGGTGCAAGACCCGAATGTACCGGTCATGGGCTGGTGTTGTAGCTCTAGGACGACCCGTCCGGGGACCATCCTGCACGGATCCAGCCGTCTGCAAACGATTCATTAGTCGATATATCGTGTCTCTTGTCACATTGAAGGTCCTTGCAACATTCGCTACTGGCGTATTGGCCCTCAGCATACCAACTGCCTGATTGCGCTCTTCGTTCGTTAAACGCGGAATGCTGTATCTTTAGATTTAGATGTTTTGAAATGAAACTTTTAACGTTTTATTCTTGGCTACAGATAAAAGATGTGTTAAACCCATAAAATAAAATAAAAAACCCAAAAAACGTTCGAGAAAAATGACAAAACACGGTTTTTAACAAAACAAGACCTGAGCTTTATTAACTGGGCACCTGATCATAAATGCAGGCTGATCAGGAGCGTCAAGTGTTCACAATCACATGTGGAAAATTTCAGCTCAATGGGTTTTCAACTTTTCATGAAATACGCAATTAAAATGTGTCTGGTTTTTATTGACGCTAAGTGTATTATTATTATCATTATTATTATCATCATCATTATTATTATTTTCATTATTATTATTACGTAGCCACTACGTCTTTAAAAAGCTAAAAAGGAAACCTTCTGTAAAAAATATAATTGGTCGTGTGTAACCTGTCGCGGCTTACGTCATCGCACGAAGGATGCCACACGCTGACGGTTCGCTGATGTGCGCGGGAAGTCATGGTCAGTGAGCTACAGCTTCATTAAGTTCAAGAACCAGTGACTTTAACTTTAATCATAGATAAATCAGTGCGTGGACTGACCAAGTGGTGACTGCCATACGACCTTTT